AATTTATATTTTGTTACACAACTAATTGCCAATGAGTAATAAATAATACAGGAGTTATGAGTTCAGGAAGATCAAAGAGATTTGGAGGCACCAGGACATATTGAATTTGCTACTTGGAATACAGAATTTTTCATGAGAATTTTACCAACACAGATTAATTTTTAAGAGAAATATTTTCTGGGGCAAACTCCTTTATTCAAGCTTTTTTTTAAAAAATTTTTTGCACTGTTTCCCACATTAAAAAAATTTTTTTTTATGTTTTATTCATTTCTGAGAGAGAGAGAGAGACAGCATGAACAGAGGAGGGTCAGAGAAAGAGGGAGATACAGAATCTGAAACAGACTCCAGGCTCTGATCTAGCTGTCAGCACAGAGCCCGATGCTGGGCTAGACCCCACAAACCGTGAGATCATGACCTGAGCTGAAGTCGAACGCTTAACCGACTGGGCCACCCAGGCGCCCCTCCTTTATTCAAGTTTAAATTCATAACTAATTTTCTCTTTAGCACAGCTAAACTTTTATCAATTTTTCCTATTTATTTATTTATTTTTAAATGTTTATTTTTTGAGAGACAGAATGTGAGCAGGGGAAGGGCAGAGAGAGGAGACACAGAATCTGAAGCAGGCTCCAGGCTCCGAGCTGTCAGCACAGAGCCTGACACGGGGCCCGACATGGGCGGAACTCATGAACCGCAAGATCATGACCTGAGTCAAAGTCAGACACTTAACCACTGAGCCACCAAGGCGCCCCAATTTTTTTATTTTAAAGAAATCATTTTCCTTGGGATCAATTCCTTCCTATTTCCATATTTTCAATAAAAGTTTGATCAACTAGTTGTATTTTTAATAGCTTTATTGAGATGTAATTCACATATCATATAATTCACCCATTTAAAATATACAATTTGATGCTTAATAGTATATTCTCAAAACTGTGTAATCATCGCCCCAATTTTAGAATTTTTCATAACCCTCAAAGAAACTCCCATTCCCATTAGGAGTCACTCCCATTCCTCCTCAATTAGCTTTAAGCAACTACTAAGTTACTTCTATCTTTATGGATTTTCCTATTCTGGATATTTCCTATGAATGAAATCATACAATACATCATCTTTTGTGACTGGCATCTTAATACTTAATACCATTCAAGATTCATTTACGTTGCAGCATGTGTTCAGTACTTCATTCCTTTTTATTCTTATATATGTCATTCAATGGATATATCCCATTGTATTTAGCCATTCATAATTCAATGGACACTTCAGAACTTGATGGGTTGTTTCCACTTTTTATTATTGATAATGCTGCTATGAACATTCATGGACAAGCTTTTGTGTGGATATATCTTTTCATTAATCTTGGATTTATACATAGGAATAGAATTGCCAATTGGGTGCATATGACCTTTCCCAATTTTCCTGGCTTACATCCCTGTTATTATGTTTTCTTTTACAAAAGACAAAAATAGAGAAGAAGAGAAGATCTGTACCTGCTCAGATGTCTTATTTGAAGTTCTCAAAGGCATAGCAGAATCGAATGATTTTAGGATTGAAATGATGGCATCAAAGTGATTGGGTCAAAATATCCTACAAAGGAAAAGTTTTCTGGAAAAAAGTTCTAACCTGAGTTGAGCAGTATATTTGAGAGCTGGAGAGGAGAAGAAAGAAGATGGCATTCTGGCAGGGGCCATAGCATCAGCAAAGGCCAGATGACTGGGCTGAGTATGGAGTACTCAGGGGATAAGCAAGATAAGTAGAAAGGGAGCCTGGAATAATTTGCTGGGAAGCATATCATCAAGGGTTTAAATAGCAGGGTTTTAGTAGCTTTGAGGGACCGTGGAAGACTGTGGTCTAGGGACATTAGTCATATGATCAGATCAAATGGCATGGTCACAGCAATAACTGGCAGATGCAGGCAGGATGGAGCTAAAAAGGGAGACATCTGAGATAGCAAGCCTTCAACCCTAGGAGGCTCTTGCAGTAATTCAGGGCCAAGGTAAAGGCTTTGACAATAGCCAGCTGGAAATTAGTGACTTAAATATTGATTCAGTGGGCAAAGTGGCATTCATCATGGGGCTGGTCCCTCAAAGGACCCATGCCTATGTGCAAGGAACTCATCATTTTCCTATTATATAAATTCATTAGATCATTCAGACTTGAGATTGATGCCAGAGGTTTGCTGCTAATCAAGCTAGAATAACAAGCTGGAGGACAAGGCAGGCCCTCTGCCAACTGGGCAAGGAGCTGGTCCAGAAGCACAGAACACTGCAGCAAAGCACTCTGTCCCTACCCTGGGAGTCTGGGCAAAGAAAGCCACTGAGGTCTGGTAATGCCCTTCAGCTGCCTCTGGAGGCTTCTAGGGCCAACTCCTGGAATGATATTTCTCAGGGCTTCTGTCAGATATTTCAGTCAAGTGGAATCCAGCCCTGAAGGCCTATGGCTGGGCTGTCCACCCTGCCTTCAGGAACTCAGAGAGATGAGGGTATCATAGGGAAGACAGAACAAGTTGGCGCAACACCAGTTGAGGCCCCGAGGGAGGCAAAGCCTTGGAAAAAGAGTAATTGAAGGGCATTTTGCAAATAAAGCAATAGTCAGCAAAGGCAATAATTTGTGTTTGTTTAAGGCTCCCACCATGAGATTCTTCCCCTTCACGCAAATATTCCCCTGCCCCTTTCTAAGATGATCCTTGCAAAACCTGACATGCCACCCCCAGCCAGAAAGCCTAATTCTGACTATGGTGATGGAATCCCTTCTCATCTGTCCCTCCCTAACACAGGAGAGTGCAGTTGGCTCCATCTACACACCGGAACAGCATTTCTAGGAAGATCCAAGTCTCCAATGTGCCTGGTTTAAGAAAATCAACATCCCAAGTCAGATGCCTTTTAGCGTTCTGACAGTTCTCCTGCTCCCCACCCATCTCCAGTCTCCGTGTGGGGGCATGGGGTCAGAGGCACCTGGTTACTAAGCAGGGAAATGCTCACTGAGTGGCTGAGGCTCTTTCAGGAACCACTTTGAGCACCCTGACCCTGAGAGGCCGGAGGATGCTGCCACCACTTTGGGTCGATCTTAGCTTAGTGTTTTGTATTGTGGAGGCCGGACAGTTTGGGAAATGGAGTGGGAAACAATTCTGTATTTTGCCGCAGTTCACCCACCTAGGATATCTAAACACAATTACCATCATTGTTTTTATTTTGTTATCAGTGCGGTCTCATCATTGTCATCCGAAGGGGGCAGAGAAGGGGCTGGCTGCCTGAATAAGGGGGCTTTTCGTCCTTACCTAGGATGCTCCTCACCACAGAACTTTGTGACCCAGGCCAAGCCCGGACTGTGTTCCGCGGAGCCGTAGCGCGGAGCACCTGCTGTTTCCCGGTCGCAGCGGGACCAAGGGGCGACGATTCCCCACCCCCGCCGCGCTCAAGAGCACACCCTTTCATCCACCTCCCCTCCCCCCCACTCCCCGCCCCAAGCCGTCCTCCTGAGAGCCTTCTAGTGAGCTTCCCCTACCCTTCTACCCACTCTGGCGCAGCCAGGTTCCTATCCAGGCTTCCCGATCCTGGGCTAGAGGGGTTAGGGGGCTGGGTGGCAAAAGAAGATCCAGCAGCAGGGTAGGTTTGGACGCCTCCTCTCCGGTGGCACCTCGGTCCCCTGACTCCTCCCCTGTCTCTGTTCCGCAGCGTCCTCGCCCTGTCAGCACTCTGCTTCAGCAACTGTACCTGCCGCTGACTGGGGGAACACAGGGGAAGGAGAAGGGGAAACAGGGTTTGGGGAGCACAGCGCCCCAGGGTGACGAGCCTCGCCCCGCGCTGCGGGCCCCGGCAGCCCTAGAGCAGCCCGCCTCCCGGCTGCCGCACCGATGCGCTGTCCGCGGTGCTGACGCCGGCCGCCTGCTCGTTTGGGAAGGGGAGGAGACTCCCTCACTCCCGGGTCTCCAGGAGCCGAGTAACCCCACCCCCATTCCTTCCCAGGAGGGATCATTTCTGCAAAGGAACTCTCAGAGACCTAGCGCTGCGGAAGGATCCAGGAAGAAGAGGGAACTTAAACTTCGGATTGCAGCCCGAGAACCGGGTGTCGGGGGATTCGCGCCGTGTGGCCCCCAACCCCTGAGACCTCTGGGTACCATCAAGTTGAGCAAAGTTTGGCGGCAGCTTGGAGATAAGAAAGGGATTCCGAAGCCGAAGCTCAGGGAGGGGCCGGACGGGGCTCCCCGACAGGGTGGCAGCCAGCATCGCAGGCCGGACACCTGCTTAGGTGCCCCGCATTTAGTGCCGCCGAAACGACCGGGAGGCGTCGCAGCAGCCCAACTCCCCACCCCTTCCCTCCCATCCTTATCTCCCCCCCCGCCCAACACCCCGCCCCGGGCGCCGGTGACTCCGCCTCTCCGTGCCGGGCGGCTCTCCGGCTGGAGCTGGAAAGGGAGCGCTTCCCTGGACTCGGCTCGGTTCTGAGGCTCCGAAGCCGACGCCGCCGGCTCAGACCCGGGGGTGGCAGGTGGACTGCCCGCGCAGCCCGCGCCTAGGAGCCGCCGAGCGGGGAACGCCTCATGGGACGACCCCAGGGGCTCTCTTCGTGCCCTGCTGCGGCGTCCCAGTCTTAGGCTCCCGGGCTCCCCAGCACGCTCCGCCCGCAGCCCGCGGCCTGTCTGGAGAGGAGTATGAGGCCCGGGGCCCCGCGGACGCCGGCCACAGGGCGGCAGGGGCCTAGCTTCAGACCCCCGGGCCCGAGGGTGGCTGGTGAGGAGCCGCGGGAGCCGGCGAGGCGTCGGTGCACGGAGAGGAGCGTCCCAGCCCGGGCGCCCGAAGGGCCGCGGGACCCGTGTGCGGCCTGAGTGCCAAGGAGGAGGCGGAGGCGAGGCGCCCCGCCGTCCGGGCTCTGGGAGAGGCGGCAAGGGGCTCCGCGGCGGCCCCCAACCCCTGGCCACCATCCTCACGCTTCTGCTCCCGCGGGGGGGATGTCGCGGCCCGGGCCCCGAGCGCCGCCCCGGCCCTGGGGCTGAGCTCCGGACCATGTCCTCCCGCAGCCCCCGGCCCCCGCCCCGCCGCTGCCGCCGCCGCCTGCCGCGCCCCTCCTGCTGCTGCTGCTGCTGCCGCCGCTCGCACCTCAACGAGGACACGGGTCGCTTCGTGCTGCTGGCGGCGCTCATCGGCCTCTACCTGGTGGCGGGCGCCACAGTCTTCTCCGCGCTCGAGAGCCCGGGCGAGGCGGAGGCGCGGGCGCGCTGGGGCGCCACGCTGCGCAACTTCAGCGCGGCGCACGGCGTGGCGGAGCCAGAGCTGCGCGCCTTCCTCCGGCACTACGAGGCCGCGCTGGCTGCCGGCGTCCGAGCCGACGCGCTGCGCCCGCGCTGGGACTTCCCTGGCGCCTTCTACTTCGTGGGCACCGTGGTATCGACCATAGGTGAGCAGCGCGACCCGCGCGCGTCTTTCCTCTCTGCGCCTTTCACCAGCCACCCTTTCCACCGCTCAGCGGCTGTGTCCGCGTCCCTGGCTTCCCCCCTTCCCTTCTAATGCCCCACTGCCTACTTTCGTCTTGTCCTCACCTCTCCCCCACGACCCCTCCTCCTGACGCTTCTCTTTCTTAACTGGCTTTCGGCGCGAGAGGTGGCCTGAGAGACCCATCTCCGGCGCTCACCCAGCGGTGACTCGCCAGGCAGTACGGCCGAATGGGGAGAACCCTCACCCAGGCGCTGGGCAGACCCGCAGCCGCCCGCGCGATCTAGTGCTTGCCAGCTCCATAACTTGACCTCTGTGCGCCTCAGTTTTCTCCTCTTAAAGGACTTGTGAGAATAAGTGTCTAGGACCTTCAATTTCCTTCCTATTTCTCACGCCCCCTAGGTCTGTTTCCTCATGCAGATGATTTGGGAAGCCCCCTTTCCCTCCACTCACAACGCTTTTATCTCTTTTTTCTTTCTTCTTCTACCACACGTTTTCCTTTAGCATCCTCTAGCCCTTTTCCCTGGGGACGACGACCACTTTCCTTGATCTCCTTCCCACCCGCTACGCCTACAGTCTACACCGCCCCCTCCACCAAAGAAAAGCCCGTTAGACTCGGAAGCCAGGATTTCAGCGCTCGTATTCTGTCCCCCTCCCCACTTTTTCTCCCCCTTCTCCCTCCATCCGCTTCCCAACTTCTCCTCCAATTTCTTGACCTCTCTGGTTACCTTGCCATCTTTTCCCACCAATAGTGGCACCAAGGGGTAGCTGCGGGGGGGGGGGGGGCTTGGGGAGGGGGTAGTTCCTCTATACTTTTTATCGTTCCTTCTCCTTATTTTTGGTGTAAACAGTTCACGGTTTCACAACCACACAAAACATGACACGTAAATAAGCCCCCCACTTCTCCCACTTTCACCCGTCCTCTGAGCCTCTCCTGCAGAGATCCTGGAGCCACTCACTGGCTGCTCCCCACCCCACCCCTTCCTTCTCTTTTTCTTCTTCTCCTGTCACTCACTTTCCCCATCCCCCCTTTCAATGGATCCTGGGTGTCATGTGAAAGAGACCTCCTCCCCAGTTACTACAGAGTGCAGAATAAATACAGGATTATCACTTTGGTGAGATGTGTGTGTGTGTGTGTGTGTGTGTGTGTGTGCACGCCGTCTGCTCCTGCTTTGAGTTCCAGGGTGGGAGAAGGCGTTTGGCTGGCCATATCACTAGTCATCCCAAGGCACTATCTCCGGGCGGTGGTTTTGGAGAAGGGGCTGGTTTCACTGGGTTGAGGAGTGAGGGATTGCATAGATACACCTTCCATGGGTAGGCTCTGGGCCGGTTTCGTATACCAGCTCAGAGGTGGGCTTAGACCAACTGGCCAGTGTAAGCCATCGCAGATGGCTCCTGGGAGGCAGAGAAAGACTTCATGCAAGTGCAGGATATGAGCAGCTATAGATGTCTCTCTGAGTGTATATGTAGTCTGCGAAAGGGCTTCCTTTCCTTCAATGATTTTTCATGTGTCATGCTTCATCTGATTATTTGAAATAGAAATGGCAAATGTGGCCCAAGCCCAAAGCACATACAAATTTGATAAAAATACCCTTTAAAAGCTATATCATGTTGTTATGGTGATTGAAGATATAAAATGACCCCCCCTCAAAAAATCCCCTTGTAAGAGCTGCATCAAGTTGCTATAGCAACTAGAGTTTTTTTTTTTTTTTAAGTGCTTTAAAAGTACTAAGGATGCTTAGTCCTGGAAGATGACATCATGCATTCATAGCTCATTACTGATTTGTGCTCTTCCACTTGTAAACACACCCTCTTGCTTTCTTCCACCTAGAGGCCCACCTGTGCGCATATTGGGTGGCAACAGCATTTCTCTCCCAGTTACATGCTCTGGCTTTAGCTTCCTAGTGGAACCTACATGCTAAAGAGAAAGGTATCAGCAGTGTCCTCTTCCCGTACAGGGAATGAGTCCATCCAAATGGGGCCCCATGCCAGTGACCTGTTGGTCTCTGTGCCTCTCTGATGAGCTCCTATCAATTTCTTCATGCACTGCCCAGCCACAGCTTCTAAAGCTCCTCTCAGTCTTTGTACAAAATCAAGTCTGTGTGTTGGCAAATTGTTCCAAACCTCAGCCTTTAATCTGCTGGCAGGAGTGGCTGTTCTTTAGTCAAGCAGAAAGGAACTAAGTTCTCTTTCTTGATTTGTGTTTTCAGATGTAGGCAAGCCATGTAGGAGGGCTACACTGAAGCATGTGGCTGTGTTACGAATGACCCAGCATATTGTTTCCAAAATCTGCTGTAGGGAGACATTCATCTCTCAGGGGAGCTACACTCAGGAATGGGAACTAACCTGTGGACAACTTAGCATTGAACTAGACATTTGCAGGGATGCCAAGACAGCGACACAAGTAGCAGGATCCACCTGCTGCCATGTTCTGGACCACTGGATCAGACTGCTCACTTCTGTCAGTCAGATAAGTACTGCTGAATCCCCAAAGTAGCGTGGTTGTCATTTCAGTCTTCTCTTGTAAAATATACTTAGATGAGATTTAAGTAAAGGCCTACATACGTCAGTTTCTCTTCTGCTTACATCGTTTCCTTCCCTGAAATGCCCTGAGTCTTCAGAGACGATTATATTAGTATTGGTGCTTTTACGGATTTAGCAGCTCAGGGAGCCAAACCTCGGTCCAAAATGGGCAGTCAGGATTCTCTACCTGCCATCTCATCCAGTGAAAAGGAAAATTAGCAGGCACTCTGTTTTCTCTGATCAGTGAATATCATGGTGTAGGTGGTCCATGCAGCAGGGCGGGCATTCCTCTTTAGTGGTGTGTGGACCCTGCTAAACCATTCATTTAGATGTTCATATGGACAAACCTTCCTTTATTTATTCTATAGATATGATGTATTGTGTATGTCAGGCCCAGTGCTACGTTTTGAAAAGTTAAAGCTTATTCTATAAGACACAGATTACAGCATAGTCCAGCAGCAGATGGATCACAGAGTTTACGGGCAGCATATCCTGGCTATTTTCACTAAAGATGACTAGAACATGGAGGAGACCGTTAGTCCAATCCTATGTGGTGCAGAGTTTTAAGGACTTGTCTCAGGTCACAGTTAATTATATGTTCAGCCAGATCGAGAATCCATGTTGTGCAGTGTTTGTTCTATCAGTTTCATGCATATAAGTGGTGGGCACATTCTTGTTGGAGACTGAAGTATTTAATAATGGGTGTGGGGGGCTGGGTCTGACATCAGGGCAGGGCTGGGCAGGAGGACTGGTCTGTTGGTCAGGCCAAGAACTGATTAAGTCCAGAGAACACTTGAAGGATCAAACGTGATAGAGGTCAGACAGACTAGAAGCATCTGGCAGGTCTAAGATAGCTGGAAACGCAAGAGCCAATACTGAGAAGGTCAGAGACAGAGGTATTAGCAAGTAGGAGACATTCTGGTGTTTATCAGAATGGTACAAAGACAGAAACCACTTGCTTTCTGCCTTCTTTTGCCCCAGTGTGTGTGTGTGTGTGTGTGTGTGTGTGAGAGAGAGAGAGAGAGAGAGAGAGCATGTGTGTGTGCATACATGCATGCACGTGCATGTTTGTGTATGCACACACACACACACACACATACACACACACATAGGGTAGGGGAAGGGGGAGAAGGGGCAGGAATGGGCCTTCTGCTAGAGGGAGACACAGAAGAAAAGTTCAGGTGTGGCTCTGTGTATTTAGGGTTAGATGGAACATCATGATAACATTTGTCTGGCCATTTGGCTTGAACAGGGCCCCACACTCAGAACTAGGCAGTTTGCAACAGTATAGACACATGTGTGTCCACCTGGTACAGACCCAGAGGGAAAATTTGCCAGTGATTGTTCAGCAGTCCTTGCGGCTGTGTGGAAAGTCAACCTGAATAGCTCAAGCAAAATATAAATCCACTTTATGGTCTAAATTATTCATATTGATTGCTTACACTCAACTGAAACTCTGGGTAATTATTATTTCTTTCATTTATGCGATGTAACATATTCCTAAGGGGTTGGAATCAAGTTTGCTTTAATATGAATACATTCATTTATTCATTCCTCCATTTAACAAAATCCAAGACAAGCCTAGTTGATCGTAGATGCATGTGTGGCCTTTGGCAGGTCATTATCTGCATCTCCTGTGATTATGTGAACCCCTCCAGGTAAAGATGGCGGCTTGTATTCTGTTAGCACTAAACAATATTCTTGAAGGCAGTGCTCTAGCTTACAGATACTGAAGCAATCCAAAGGGTATTAGTCCATCATTTCACATCCTAAAGGATGTTTTACTGGTTTACTTTGAAAAGATTAAAAGGAAACTCTCCACTGGGGTTTTAATTATGCAACTGCTGTCAGATTTACACATAGGGAAGAACATATTTAAAAGTCTTTCTCAAATGGCAGCTTGATATAAACAGAAATATTTTTGCTTCCTTTTATTAGGTTTTCTGGCAGCGTATTTGAGCTATAAAGTTAAAACCACGCCGCTCTAGACGGGATGGTGTAGGTATATGAAAGTTGTCACTGTTGGCACTGCATAATTTAGCTTGCTACTTTCAGAATTAGGCACACTTAATTATTCAGCCGCGAGATTAGTAACAAGTCCTAACTTTTTTCCTCTTTTTTTTCACATGGATTTTTAAAACTGTTTTTGCTTCAAAGGAAACTAAGACATTATAAGACCGAAATGTCACTGCCACATTTACATTCGGTTTTCTTCTAACATGTATGTAATTCAGCTGGAGGTGGTTCTGATCCCAGGAGTGAAATAACATCACCCAGAAGGAACGGAGCCCCTTTCCTCACTTTTTTCCCTCATCAACTATTTTTTATTGAAAGATGGTGCCGTGACAGCTTTGAAGGACCTTTAAGGAAATGTGTTCTCATCCATGCTCATCCGCGGCTCCCAGTCCTGGCCCCAGCACATGGTGGACACTCGCTCATTAT